GATGCCCCACTGGACAGAGACTCAGGCAGCCATTGGTGCCTGAATGCCTCAGAGGTCCAAACGGAGCAGTGCTCATGGGTCAGCAGGGCTGCGCCCCACCAGAGCCCCCTTCAGCCGTCATGGCTGGCAGTCATGGGTGGGCCCGATCCTCCGTGAGTCTGTCTGAGTCCCTTCTGAAGCCACCTGTGCTGGCGACCCTCGCCCGGCTCCCTGGCAGTGAGTCCTACAGTTAGACTACTGGAGCGAAATAGTTCCTTTTGCCTGTTCCGAATCTACTGTCCATCAAATTCATTGGGTATCCCGGAGTATTAGGCGAAGGGGAGAAAAGTTCTCTTTATTATTGTTTGAATATATCCAAATTTGATTTTTTTTTCCCTAACCAATTTTTTTCTCTAACCATTTTTTAATTCACTACTTGCCCCCCCTAACCATATATTTCAGCTTAAAGTTTTTATTGCTACTGCAACATAAAATTAATGTGGGGTACTTTTAAAAAATTGTTCACGAAATAGAAGTCAAAACAAACACACTAAAACAGGTCTCCTCTATTTTGGGAAAGGTTCTGGAAAGTTTTCCCATTTCAATTTTTTGGGAAAACTCACATCACTGGGAAGTGCTATGCCTGTCAAGGAGATATAAAGAATTCATTAGGTGTACATACAACAAAATGATTGGGAATGTGAATTTCTGGCAGGACACATTCCCTGATTACTGTCTCTCTCACAGAGAATTTACACCTGAAAGACTCATGATGGAGTCTGTAGCAAACCTCTCTGCCTCAGCTCCCCCTGCCCCGTGATCTCCCCGCCCCCCGAGGAAGGATGCCTAGTGTGGTCTTCCTTGCGTAGATCTAATCTGAAGTGAGCGGTGACTCATGAAAGCTCCTATTGAAATAAATGCTAGTAGTCTTTTAAGGTACCAATGGATTTTTGTTATATTTAACATCTCCTGAGACTAATGTTGTGCTGAGCGAGCAATGCATGGATGAACAGAACGGAAATTCCAAGTAAGGGTGTACAATGCATCTAACCACCTGAAGTGTCCTGAAATGAAGCTGTGGTTCAGTTTACAATTCCAATGTCCCCTGGGGGGCATGCGCGATTTTGCAACTTGCTTAACACTTTAAACAAAGTTTCTTGAAATTCTTATGCTCTTGTTTTTAAAGGAAAGGGTGAAAGGAAACATTTTGTCATATAATTAAGGAAATATGCTTTCACCTCATATTCTTTTCATTTGCATATCTGAGTTTCTTCCGCCGCCACTATTACCACCATCGTGTACCGCAGAGCAGTGCCGTCGGGGTGGGCTGATTAGCCAACTGGGACATCTCGGCCTATGGCACCCCTCCCCCCTTTCTGTTGACCTCACTGTGATATATAATAATGAGTGAGTATTTTAACTACCAATGCATCCTGTAAGATTGAATTGTGTTTTAAGTGGTTAACTGTGTAATTTTATCACACTTTGGGTGCCTAAATTGTTTTAATGTGTTATATTTTATTGCACTGTTGTGCCTGTGTAAGCCGCCCTGAGCCCGCATGCGGGGAAGGCGGGGTATAAATGAAATTAAATAAATAAATAATTTTTTATATCTGCTAATAAACAATACATTTTAAAAAGCTGGCTAACACAGAACAACTGAAATAGATAGCAGGCAGGTTTTTCTTATTTTGCTTATCTGCATTGTTCCCAGCTCTTTAATCCTAGTCCCACCGCACTGTTTGCTGCATTCTTTAAACCAGGGGTCTCAACCATACGGTCTGTGGGCAGGATCAGGCCCCCCTGGAGTGCTTCTACCAGGCCCACAGTGGAACTGGCTGCCTTCTGCTTCTTCTCCCAGTTCTGCTGCTGCTGCGTCATCATAGGTTTGCAGTTTACAGAGACACACTTGAACAGCATACTCAAGATTGCAGCAGCACAGACATTTTGATGCGATCATTCAGAGCAAGAGGGGTCAGTTATCAGACACTGTTAGATAAACAAAACATTGCAAGAGTGCTGATGTTTTAAGCATGTTTTTAAGTTAAAAAAACCACCTTTGTGTTTGTGTCCTTTATAAAGTTTATATCTCCGCTCCCTGGCATAACATTTTATGACACACATGGCCCGGCCCAACAAGGTCTCATTTATGTCAGATCCGGCCCTCATACTAAATGAGTTCGACCCCCCCCCCGCTTTAAACTGTCTGATTGAATGGCTTCCTGTATTTTGTAATCCAGCCTGAGTTTCAGAGATAATGAAACAAATCAAATCAAATAAAGGAGATTCCACCTCATTCAATTATTTCTCTCTTAATTACAAATGTAGGCAGAATTGTAGCAGAAACACCCAGTGTGGGGTTGTGGTTAGAATGCTGGAGGAGGAGCCGGGAGGATCTGAGTTCAAAATGCCTCCCCCCCCCGCCCCACCCGAGAGGCTCGCTTGGTGACTGCAGGCCAGTCGCAGAGTTGCTGTCAGGATGAAACGGAGAGGAGATACTCGTAAGCCACCAGGTGTTCCCAAAGTGGCGCTGGGGGCGGGGGGGGGCACTGAATATAAAAAGCAAATAAACTAACAGTATGCAGCTGAGCCCTATGGGCAAGTTTATTCAAAGTTCACTCTCACTAGGTTATTCTGAACGTCAAGTGCCTGCAAAGGATTGCTGACTGAATTAGATGCTCTTACACTGGCAAGTAGTGAACACCCTCCACTGCTTTTGGTGGAACCGACTTCTCCGTAAGTGTTCTTCACACCTTGCTGTTCATTAATCTTCCTCCCCCGTCCCCCAGTTTGGTGCCCACTTCATCCTGACTCCCCTCTCTCCTGGTGCAACCAGAGATTAAGGAGAAGTCAGAATTTTTCTTATTTTTCCCACAGGTCCCTAATACACAGAGTCAGAAGCCTCCACTGTTGTCTCAACAAATGTTTTATGGGACCAAATTATTTCTTTAAAGGAATGTGCCATCTGGCCCAAAATGTGCAACATCTTAATGCCACATACCTCAAAAGGTAACCAGCATTTTAAAATGGAAACATCAATGAACAAAGCATTAAAACTGAAATACTAGTGGCTTATTTATATCCCTCTTACACAATTCAGATGGTTGGTGATATAATTCCACATACATCATTCATTTTTAACCCAACTAGGCAGTGCACCCAGTGTCCCTTCCATACTTTCCCAGAGCCAGGATCCACACACAGGGATCACAGGCAGGAAGCCATCACAGTGAGGGAGCAAAAGCCGGCAAGCGGCCTGAAACGGGCACCTCAGCAGCTGAGCCCCAGGAGAGCGAGGGAAAGCTCATCGCAGTCCACTGGCGCTTCAGCTCACAAAGCCAACCACTTAGGATTTCGAAGACATCGGCCTGTACTTGTCTTATGTTTTCTATTCTGATACCTCGCTTGTCTCTCTCCCACCCTAACATGGGACCCAGAAGATTATCCAAACCGGGATATGAACAAAATTGTATACTTACAAGTGGGAGACCAGCAGTCTCATCTTCCCCGTCCCCACTATCTTCTCTTTTCCTTCCCGCTTCCTTCCCTCTCAGTACCCACAACCCATCTCTACCTTCCCCCCTCGGATCTCTCTCCTCCCACCTCAGAAGCCGCCACACCCGGGGAGAGGACAGCCAAGCTGTGTGACACCAGCTGTTGAGCCAGAAGGACTTGCGGGGGGGGGGGGGGGGGATAGAGGCACATTCGCAACT